TAAGGATACATAGAAGTTGATCGTTCACACTGACTTAAGACCCATATTTGAAAGAGAGACCACTATCAAGCACTACCTGTCAAATACTAAAAGAATGTGTGGATCTGTAAATGCAAAATGCAATCCAGAAATGCAAAGGATATGTAAGGCTTTCAGCACTTCTTCTAAGGCTCTTCTTCAGGAAATAGAAGCCAAATTAGAATACGTTAAAGAAACCACCCTCGATCCACCTTCAAACAGGAAAAGAGGACTAATAGACGGACTAGGATCTTTAGCCAAATCCTTGTTCGGGACAATGGATTCCGAGGACATGGATGCATAAGGAAGGAAGCGCATTAAAAACCGCTTTAAAAAATCAGGTGCAGATCACCAAGGCAAATCTACCAATGATAAATGCAGCTAATGCCGAACACAGCGACATGATGCTTTTTAACCTCACATCTCATATCAAACAACAAATGGACGAAGGATTCAGACTGGAATCTTTCCGAGAAGAACTCGATGAACATTTTATCATCCTCTCGCTATACATCGAAATCTTCCACGGATGTGTTCAGGATCTAGCAGAATATCTGGTAGAAATCCAAAAGGGAATCATATATCCAGGAATAGTGTCATATCCGAAAATAATTGAGCTACTGAAGGAATCCCTAGAACACTTACCTCAAGGTGTAAACTACCCAATAGCCTTGATACCCGAAAAAGCAAGATACCTCAAAGAAATTACGGAACTAGAGGCCTATAGCGAAGGTAACTCCATCGTTACTATAATCAAGATACCGCTCACATCATCCCAAGAGTATCACATAAACCGAATACACTCTCTGCCTGTTCACTTGAAAAATGGCACATACGCTTATATTAAGGCGGAAGAAAATTACGCAATAGTGGGACACGAGATGCAAATGTTTATCAGAATGACGCAAACCGAATTAGAGAACTGTAAGAGAATTAAGGGTCAATACTTCTGTGAAGCAAGACACCCAGTATTTAAAAGTAGACCATACGGTTCCTGTGAAACCCAACTTTTTGCACATCCATCGTCGTATCCTCCATCATGCGAAACAAGGCAAATCAAAATCGAAAACACACGCTTAATCGAAATGGAGAACCCCAACTCTTGGCTATATGTAGCGGACAAACCAGAACAAATGATGGTATCATGTAATAATGAAAATCCAAAAAGAGTAGTTATGCAAGGCTCTGGTATAATTGAAATAAAAGGAAAATGTAAACTAACCACCGAAGGTTTCACCCTAGAAACCGAAGGAAAATATAAGTTAGATGTAAATTTGAACTATTTACCTCCTCTAAACCTAACACTAATTACTGATAATTATGCGTCAAATATTGTATCTAATAATAATAATATACTTAGCTTAGGTTATATAACCTAAGCTAAGAAGCCTAATAAAGGATCCTAGCGAACTAAACGCACTAAGCAGAAAAATGTCAGAAATAGAGAACAACCTAATAAAGGATAACATAGATACTTTCGTAGATATCATATCATCACCTATCTCCTATTCGATGGGGACAATGTTTTGAATCACTATTTTTATACTAGGAATTATAGTAATTTATTTCTTAAGAAAAAGGGCAAAATCAACTACTCCTGGAGAAACTACTCCACCTAGTGTAATAGTAATAGGAAACTCTTCCCCAAATCCAAATCAGGTCACATCGTAGTTTCAGACTCAATTGTAATAAAATCAATGTACACGGGAAGTAAAACAAATGTACACCTTACAAAACACTCGGGTGACTGAACTCCGATGTCAGCAAAATTTATCTAAGCAAAATTACGAGGCAGGTAACCAGTACAACGACCTACAAAACAATAGAAAGACTAAAAGAAAAGTCCATGAGAATGGACCTTTCCTTTTTTTATGGGATTAGGCATGTTGTAAACCATAATATAGATTTGAAAACGCGCCTACGTCAGAAGCGACGGAATGGCTACGCTGCGACGCGGCACATTCCACTCGCTAATATTATGGAAACAAAGGAGACACATCACCGACATCATGGCGAAATATAGAAACAATCCTTTGGTTATTGTATCTCTAAAAAATTCCATAATTAAAATATAAAAAGCCTGCCCCAAAAAAAAGACGGCCTGTCGGTACATCAGACGAAGTAAGAAAGCTACGAGTGAAGTGTTACTACGGTAACTTAGTCGAAGTACTAACCTCCAGCCTCGTGATTTCGTACTCACCACGTTTACGGTTTATTTCTGATAGTGTATTCTAACGTAACTTATTTTGTTTCAAATAAATCTTTTACTTGTTATCGAGAATTAAGTTCCAACTTTTTACTTGGGCAACGAATCCCAAAGTACCTGACTCCCGAAAACCCTTTCCAGGAGTCAAAACCGTGAATCCAGTATTTCGGACTCACAATAGCTCACTTACCTTCGGGAGAACCGCATACGTTACCTGTGGCCGACGATCAGCCTGATTACCTGCATCGGCAACCTCCTGTCAGTCACGAAGACTCGAAGTGTCACAACACCATTTCGGAGCACATTAGTAAGACGTCAAACGCGACGAATAGACTTCCAAAACATCGCGGCACAACATGCGGACAGCGGCATAGCAGCGGGGAAAACGCCAGTACCGCCCTACGTCGGAACGCTAGCAAATTACTATTACCCAGAGGGCTGCGCGAATGATGCGCACGCAACCGCTCGAACGTTTAAAGCTACCTGATAGGGTTAATGATCTTAGATCTTGGCGATACATTATCAATATGCATCTAGGATTGGCGGAAGTAATCACGATAAGTAATTGACCAATTATAATCGGGAATTTAAGTGTCGGGTGGAACGATAGCACCCCGGGTGTCGCGAAAAGAATCGGAATCGTCCTCTTTCGTCGTGGACCTTCCTGTTAAGTGAACGCAAAAATCTCACTGCTACGGAACAGTACCACCGTTCTTTGTGTGGACTCTTCTTTTTCCCATTATCTGGTAAGCGATCTTTCTTGTAACCGGGTATGAAACTGTTCACGCTATCTACGTGAGCAATAGAATTGCAAGCTACCTAGTAGCGAAGTGTTGGCCTATGGACCTAAGCAAGCGTCCATCGAAGAGCTTCGTCGCCGGATTGATAATTTAAATATGCTAGTGCGCGAGTGATGTGTTAACTCATACTAGTGGTGGTTTCCCCGATTACGGCCACGGCGAAGAGCCTGTTTTGTTTCGTCCGTTCATTTTATTCTATTTTACGTTTTTGTTAATTTGCGTGAGTACACTTGTCCGGATATTTCCGTAAGTGTTGACGTACCTATTTCTTTGGTTGATCGGATCGCGTGTGTAAGATTTGTCTTATACGGGTTGTAATAAGAACGGCTACCTGGGATAGCATACATTCCGCCACGGCTACCTGAGTCCTTGAGACTCCCAAAATTCGCAAGAATAGGAGTCAGTCGGCAAGGCATTACATGCTACCTGGAATAGCATTAGCCCCTTATGCGGGCCATACACGCTACGGTCTACCGGAGAGGTCTACCTGCACAGGTATGCCTGCGCAGGTAGGCCGGAGCGTGTGTGGGAATAGAACTGTGCAGTTTTTTTAACCTGTACAGGCGACCGGTGCAAGATCGAAAATCAATTTTTTCGAGTGACACTGTACGATGTACCTGTGCGTGTGTGCATGTACTCCCGTCGCCTGCGCAGGTCGCGTCAGTTTTTTGTTCACCAAAGCAAGTGCGTCCTCGTTCGATGCCATCGCGAAAAAACTGAAGACCACTCCGGTACACCGGAGACATATCCGACGTCCGGTTGACCTGCACAGGCAGGTTGACCTGCACACCTGTGCAGGTAGACTTCTCCGGTAGACCGTAGCGTGTATGGCCGGCGTTAGTGACAGAAGTCAATCCGAGTGTCGACCACGCAGTCTCGAATCGAATTTATTATTATGATTTTCCGTGTTTTTCTCTGTTATTTTGCGTTATCGTTATTTTACCTCTTGACGACTTATGGGCTTGGGCTATTTCAACCCTGCCTTGCCTGTGATACCTGAAATGCGAAAGGAAAACTAGGAAAGCGTGACAGTGTAGTCGTCAGATTGACCGTACGTGCGTGCGTTACCTTACATCTTGTCGCAGGCCACGAGTACGTCCCGATAAAATTCTCTGTCTGTGCGTACGTACTCTGTCTACTGCCTGTAGCTAGATCCAATTAGTAATATCTACGCTCGTTACCTGGTGGGGCTATAAGCTACCTTCTAGCCATTATCGATACCTGCCAGTATTAAATAATACCGCGACTACCTCTGGTAGCTTCTCGTATTTGTGACGGGTTTTGATTATTTATTATATGTTGAATTGTCAGGTGCAATAAAGTGTTAAGTTTTTGGTTACGTAAAACTGGCTTACGGCTCTTACTTCCTAATTACCCAGCTCCTCTCTTATACCTATCGAGGCTAAGCTAGTTAGACTTCCGCGACGCATCGGTCCGAGTATCGTCGGATTTCCGTTTCTTAGCGCTATCTTGGTGCATTCCATTATCTTTTCCTTGTGGCATCACTGGATGCCTGGCGCCCATCGGCATATCTTTCAGGTTCGTGTGTCGTGTAAGGATCCAAAGATATTGGACCGATCGAACGAAGGTACTCCTTTGTTTCCGGGTCTAGTTATCTCTAATTAATCTTAGGAGATCCGGGAACAGGTGTTACAGCTTCTAGACCCACCAGAGCGAGAGGCTGACGTCATACTGCTGCGCGGGAGTATTCTAGGATTTCAAGACTTAGGATCAAAGTGGACGCGGGGAGAAGAGAATACCGGTAGGTCCGCCATGGGAAGGGGCTGACATCATACCGCGATGCGGGGGAGAGAACTCTGCTCGCGCAACGCTCGGGTGACATCAAAGATGGCAAAGTGAGGGGCGGAAGGAGAGGGGATACGTCTTCCTAGAGTAGCCTGTACCTACCCACTTACGAAAAGTGATCAAAGGAGAATACAACATTTTAATAATATAAATGAATAAATACAATTCTATTTTGAGTAAGTTACAAAGCCAGATAAGTAATTTATTATAAGATTCCCATAAACGTGTTTCGCATTTTACAAGTTTAATCGCTGACTCTTATAACGTAGGGAATAGCACTTGCATCGTTAAGTTTAATTAACATACATTGGTACACATGGTTTTCTCTAGCTATAAAGAATCATATGTATTATATATAATCAAGTAAATATGCAGATAAATTCATATGTATGATTATGTATGACTATGTAAGAACATTTTTTTCCAAAGTATCATCAAATTTGCTTAAATAAAAGGTACTACTTTTTTATATATGAGACATATTACCTTGACCAGGATATACTATATATATAAGAATATTATATAGTAATATTAAAATTGATCATCAGCTTTAGTTAATGCAGGGATGCATTTAGAGACGCAGGGCAAACAGCAATTAAAATCAGATCTCAGGGCAGCCACTGTGAACAAAGCAATAAAAAGTTAATAGTTTGCGGTAGTTGGTTCATATCATTGTTTTAAATAATTGTATTTCATAAACTTTTTTTATTCTTCATCATAATATGTCCTTGATCTTTCAACATTTTTGTGTACAAAGTGTTGGTTTTGAAATTTGTAACACGGTGCCAGTACTTAACACTCGGGTGGATCAAAGTTTCGGATCTGCAGAAGATCGTTGAAAACGAAAGGGGAGAAACAGGATGGAGAGGCTGAAGGAGGGGAGGGGGGGGAGAAGAGAAGAATTGGGTTTTGGAAAATGTAAGAAGGTAGCCAGGCCTCACAAACACTTCTTGAACGTAAGACTTTTAAAAAGCTTTGAAATCTTTAGTTCTAAAGCATTATTCTTATAGAAACTCACATTGCCACGCATATTTGAATATTGTGACGTTCCGTTTTTATAACCCCCTATTCTCTATCCTTTTTCCTTTCTAACCACCCATTCTCTATGACAGATGATACGTTAAGAGCCCCATATAAGAGTGCAAAGCAGATAGTGGATGTGCATAATTGTATCTGACAGAATTCCTTAAATCTTAGAATTCCTCAAATCTCATATCGACCTTTGATAGCGACGGTGATAAAAAACAGAGAATATAAGACCTTAAAATCCCTAATATTATATAATTCCTTTGAAATTAGTCATAGCGATAATCATTAAGGAATAATATTAGAGTTATTACCTTTAATATTCCAAGAATTCAAAAATCGGTCGTGCGATTGGAATCAACTCAAACAAGTGCCCAAGCCCTATTAACTGAAACGCGTCAAACACAATAGAAACACCAGTAGGCCGTACTGAATCAAAATTCTACATTAATATCTCAGGATAACAAGAATAGTTCTCCTCACTAAAAATAAAATATTCCTCCCGAGGATATTAGCTGTGGGTTTTTCGAGAAGAATTTATTAGATTCGTTGGTAGATTCAGTGAGAACGACAAGTGTACAGTAAAAGACGGCAAAGAACAGCAAAAATTGAGAATCATGATCTTCGAAAATCAGTTAGGGGAAACCATCCTGCACTCCCGAGCAAATCAGTGAACGGTATTGCACCGCAAATTGTGTCAGCTCATCCTTGGAAGTCCTGGTCTCAGAGAGCATTGTATTTCACCTCTGTATCAGAAAACCTGCTATCCTTGTAGATATTCTGCAGCAATTTTAATACGCCGGAGCTGTTAAAAATCGACTAAGCACCAAAAACCAATCATTAAAAAGCTCTGTTCCCAACGTCATTGTGATTAGTAGCTGTTTCAGCTCTCCACAGTCCTTATCAGGTCTAAGGAATCATTGTGATACCCCTCAGTAACCGGAAGAGCATCCTAAAGACCCTTGTATGATCCTGCAGTGAAGTTATTGTAACAAAACTTACAGGAGTGTAGATCCACCTCACTAACCTACATAAAAAGACTCAGCTCCAAACGTCCTCGTGATTAGTAGCGGTCTGACAATTAATCAAAACCTTCATAAAGACAACACGTTCAGCAAACGGGGATCGTTGTGATCATCTGTGTAGCAAAACTTACAGGAGTGCAGATCCACCTCACTAACCTATCTAAAAAGACTCAGCTTCCAACGTCTTCATGATTAGTAGCTTCTGATAATAAATCAAAACCTTCCTAAAGATAATACGTTCAGCAAACGGGGATCATTGTGATCATCTGTGGGTTCTGAACCATTACCATTCCTATCATCAGCTGGCCTACAGTTACTGAACGTATTGTGCAATCTGCTGTATTATAGTTCCAGCTACCTCTTTCCCTCTCCTAGAGGCTAGAATAGAGAAAATATAGAGACATAAGCTCCTCGTGGCGTGCGGTACAATAATAAACACTGTACATGATTATACGAGTATGAGAGAGTGAGATAGCAATTACTCGACTTTCTAGTATGTAAATTATAGGAAAATATATCACGATTATTTTAATTTCAAAATCAAGTGTTGTTTCCTATCAAGACGCTTGCCCAGTGCACAAACTTTTCAAGAAGTTTTACGATTCAGATTCCTCCAAAATCGCGAAATTTCACAGTACACTATATCATACGAAGGAATGAAGTATAACAGAGACACACGATTAAACAATTACAATTAAACATTTTTATATGAATTTTATATAATTTAAGCATGTAATCATTTAATAACTCGATAGTAAGAGTTTCCTATTATTTAAGTACCCGATCTTTTAATTGTTCGATAGCATATTCGCATATTTGGGCGACATAAAAATAATTATTAAATCGCCAGATATTGACTTTTTAGAATTGCAATTGATCCGTATTGGTGAGGTGTGTGAAGTTATTTAACACTAACAAGAGTCTGGTATAATAACGAGAAGAATTCCAATTATTCTTTGAAATTATTTTTCGCTTTACTGATGAAAGATATAGATGGGAACCCTAAGCGTACATTTCAAAGTTTTTATACTCACGGAATGCCGATCGGCTATTATCTCGCGGCCGCTGCCTTTTTGCATTATTTGAACAAGCGACCATTTAGAAAAATGAACGTTCAGGAGAATGAACATTTGTTTGGGAATTATTTTTTGAAAAATGACGATTTGAGCACTTGAATTTTGAAAAAGGAGATTTCACGGATGCAGGTGGAAGAACGGAAAAAAATTATTGACTGCACAATAGGGAACAGTACAATGAGAAAAAGAGTGTAGGGGTAGGGGGTTGACGACAAGAAGAATTTGGGTCACCATCCGATAAGAAGAAGAGATGCAGGATAGATTGCGAGAGTTTAAAAAGGCGATAGAAGAGAGGAAAAAGGTGTGGTGGAAAGAAAGAAAAGAGGATGGCGGCATGAGGAAAGTGGGTTAAAAAAGGAGGTGAGGGGATTTTGGTCGGAAACATGGTAGAGGACAGACGTGTAGGTGGATTTTTCTGAACTGACAAAGTGAAGTAAGGAAAAATTTGAGGAAAAAAGGTGAAAAAGGTATCAAAAGAGGCAGAAAGTGATAATAAACACTGTGAAATATAGAAAACAAAGGACAATGGGTAGTAAAGAGGTGTTATTAAAGAGAAAGGGTACAAAAATCTTGGTATTGAACGTGAGGATAGATGACGTGTGGTGAGCTGACGCAGCAGACGGTCAAGGCAGACGGACTCCGAAGTCGACGTATGAAGTGACGAAATTGTTGACGACTGCATAAAAGCATTGTAACAAAAGACAAACAATTTTATCTATTGACGGATGAAACGAAAGGGAAGAGAGGAAGATCAACGACTACGATTCAGCTGCGACGCGAACGTACAAGTAGTTCAGGTAGTATAACAGATTATATCAAGACGAAGAGAGAAAAAGAGGATCAATTAAAACTAATCTAAGAAGAAAATAGGGCATTCAGCATAAGTAAAAAACAGACAGGTCACCGGTTAAAGAAGGGACATTGGAAGGATTCTCGTACATGGAAAAATGGAAAAGAGAATAATGGTAAGATTCGAGAAATTAATAACACAAATAGCGAAATTCGAAGAAGAAGTAAAAGAAATGAAAGAAGAGTATCTCGATATAAAATAAAATAAAGAATTGAGAAAAATAATGTTAAACCTGGAAATAAAATTTGATAGATAGGAGAAAAGAGAAAGAAGAAACAATATAGTGACAAAAAGGAAAGAATTTAGTGAGGACGAGATAAAGGCAGAATGCGAGAAAATTCTAGTGAAAGAAATTGGAACCAAAGGTAAGGGAAAGAATGCATACGAAATTAAAAGAAGGGAGAATAGTACGATGACAGTAATACAGATGAAGAGTTAGGAAGAAAAGATGGAAATAATTAAGAAAAAAAAAGAACCTAGGTAGAAAGAAAAGATGTAAAAGAAAAAAGGAGATTCAAAGAAAAATCCGAGAATTAGTAAGAGAGAAGAAAAGTATAATAAATAGACAAGCAAGTAGGACTGATGTCCAATTGCGCACAGACCCAATCGGACGAATATGCGAATTTTTGCCTCATAAACGATCTTTCATCGGTCATTCAATGATATTGTAAGCTATCTTTATCTGAGGGAACCTTTTCAAACATTTAATGCTCTGTTTAGTCGAACTCATTCGCTTCGCTCGCTCGCCGACAATATACTTATCCACTAACCTACTCAATCTCCGAAGTTTAAACATTCCACCCTATACTAACCTTACGTAACCATACTCAGAGTAAACTAATGTAAAACTACATACAATATACTATAATAAGTTATCGCTTGTACCTAAGTCTATTCCATCTATTTAAAACAGGATAGAATTTGCAGTAAAAAGTCATTTATGTGCAATTGGATCTGTGCGTAAGTGACTCTAGCAAGTGGGATACAAGAAATTGTACGAAAAAGAAATATAGAGGAAATGGAACGAAAAGAAAAACAGAGTAGGAAACAAAATAATATCTTTAGGAAGGTCAGTGAGCTAAAAGAGACATTTGTTCATTCACACCTCTTTGGGACCCAGGACAAGCAGAATAGTTGTGAAAGGATTTTTTAAGAAAGGACACCACTGTGCTTCCCTCGCCTCCGTGAGAGCGAAGAGGAATGAAGTAACGGCTAAGATAATCCAAGAAAACAAAGAGGCGATGGTAAGAATGAAAAGAAATCAGGAGTTCGTAGTGAAGCAGAAACAGAAAGTAAAGACGGAGAAGAGGAAAAAGGTAGAGGGAACGGTCAAAACGAAATGAGAATAGTTGTCGGGAAAGAAGAAAGGAAAAACGAGGAAAGGGAAAAAGAGATGATTTGGTATAAGGAAGATAAGTATGAATTACTTTTCTGGAATGTGGCTGGAGTATTAAATAAGGACAGAGAATTTTTGAAATTTGTAGAAAACTTTAGTTTTGTAGGCTTGATACAGGCATGGATGGAGGAAAACATATAAAACAAAATTAAAAAGCAGCTACCAAAGAGTTTTAACTAGGAATGTCAACTGGCGTTATGGGAAAAAAGAAAGGAAAGGGCCAGAGTAGGCATACTTACTGAAATCAACAAAGAAATAAGAGAAGAAAAAAGGCGGGGCAGCGAGGGAATAAGGGGTCCAGGAAAGAACACTAATCATAGAGGGACTAAAATAGAGAATCTTCATTACATATAACGGAGCAGGATCGAAACAGTTCACGAATGAAGTAAATAGATTAATAGAAAATAACTTATTGTTAGTACTGAATTGGGGCTGGAACGCAAGAATAGAGACTAAAGGAAAATCCTATGACGAACGAATATGGAACGACGGAGAGTTAAAAGATAAACCAAAAAAATATCGAAGGAAGGAGACCCCTAAAGCTTATGGAAGAAAGAACATAATCAATCGTAAATAAAACTATCAGCGAGAATGATGCAGGATAGTTTACATATGTAAGAAAAAGAGGAACAAGCTTGATTAAGAGTAAAAGACCTTACAGTACTAGAAAGAATAGTATCTGACCATCTGCCACTATAGGTAACCCTGGACATTGAGCAGATGATGAACAAAGATGAAGAAGTGCAGCAAGAATTATTAATATAGAATTGAATAAAAAACTGAAGAATTCAAAGAAAAGACAAGGACAATAATGTACGAAGAAAGAGAACAAGGAAGAATATGGCATGAGTTGAGGGACAACGTGAAAAAGGCGTTAAACAAGAAGAAGATGGAAAAGCGGATATGGAAGATAAGAATGAAGAAATGGTGAAACAAAGATATAAAAATTAAAAAAAAAACAGACTTCATGAAACTTGCATTGAACAAATTTTTGTATGAAGCAGAATTGAATACAGAATCCAATATTTTTTTTCAAATTTTTAAGAAAAGCCGATTTCTGCCGAAAAATATTTAAACAATTTAATTGCTTATAATTGAAAAATTTTTAGGTTATAGGTTATTCTTATAGGTTATTCTTCCAGCTTTCAAAAGAGTGTTGGTTCATCGCTTTAAGATAAATAAAACCGGAGATATTCATTTTTGAAGTTACCGAAGTGCTAATTCTGTATCAATATTAGAAACAGTAGATTGTACAACTAGGGAGGAAAACAGACGATTTCGACGAGTGGGAAGCTTGCCGCCCGAGCAAAGCGAGGGCGGCAATCACACAAGTCGAAATCGTCTTTCTCCTGTGTTGCACACGATATTTTTTTCAATAAGCGCAGAAAAATGGTAGGATGGTTTACAATAAGATATAAATAACTGACGTAAGATTATCAAGACATTGATATTGGATTAGGATAAAATGAAGTTAGCGTGGTGCTAGTTGTTTGAAATGCATAGGGCTGTATGTATTAAGTTTTCGTGGTCTATTAGGGACCGAAGGCGCAGTAGTAGAAGAGTCCAGGGCGGAGCCCTGGTGGGGTGCAGGAGCGAAGTCCCGCCGTGGGGTACGGGGGGTGGAGCCCCCGACTGTCAAAAAACGAATTTTAAAGATCATTATAGACCAAAATTTTTAAAGGAATTTCATAATTTATTAACGAAATGTATCAATAAAAGCAATGAACAATTTCGTTTCAATTTTTTTATAATTTTCATTTAAAAAATTTAAAGAGTTCGGTTTTATTTGGAGAGAAAGTGAATTTAAAAAAAACTAAAAGACAGTGAAATACAAATTTATTTTTTTAACAATATTCATAATTGAGCATTTATTGAATTTTGTTTAATGGAAAGAAACTAAAGTACAAACTTGGTGTTTTCAAAAGTCAAAAAAACAATGATACATAAATCAATTTACTTTTGTACATTAATGGTAACTAAACAATTACTCAGGTGGATAACAGTTTGTCCGGTTTTCAATGTTTCGTCTGAATTATTTTCGGCTTTCAAAATTTTTTTTTTTGGACTATCATGATTCGAACTATTTGAGCGTTTACTCAATGATGGCAGCATTATCGACGACGTTATTTTTTGCGCTGCTTCCTGTTTGTTGTGCATAGATTGTTCTATGTAATCTTCCGCCATCGTATTTGATTTCCATCCTCCGTGTCTTTTGATAGCAGTGATATCCACTCCAGCATCAGCAAGAAAAGGTGTAGAAGTTCTTCGAAAACTGTGTCCGGTGTAGCGCTTTGAATCCGGCAATTTCAAATATTCTGCGATCTGTGTTGGCATAGTAGCAAATTTGTTTTTCCCTATAACTTGACAGAGACATTTTCCTTTTTGAAAATTCAAGAAGAAGCGATTTGTGATAGTATTCGAAGGACGAAGTGCTTCGTATTTTTTGACAATGGCACGAAATTCTTCCTGAATTACAAAGGAACGCGGAACGTTTTTTTTTGTCTTTGGGATTGTAACTTTCATCATTTTGCCGTGGTTTTCAATATCATTTAATGTAATATTCACCAACTCATGACTTCGGCATGGTCCATGTATTCCAAATATCAAAGTAACGTGTAAATAAAATTGTTTAATTAGTTGTAATTACTTTTATTAATTTGATTAGTTTAGTTGTTAATTAGTATGTTTAGGTGTTTTTTTTTTACCTTTGTAGCCAAATATTCATGATCTGGAGCTTCAGCGAGGAACTTTTGAACTTCTTCTGTGGTGAAAACTTTCCATTTGTTCCTTTGATAACCATTCATTTGTTTTTTCAAAAAGGCAATTAATTGTTTAAATGAGCTTATGTCGATACTCTCATTCAGTTGCAGTGTACTACGCAACATAGAATAAATAGATCACAAAGTCGTTGGCTTTAAGCTCTTTGATTTTTCACCAAAATATGCCAGAAAAACATTTTCGGAATAACTAGTAACTTGATTTTTCTTTTTCCATTCAACGAATGCATTTACACAGCTGTATACTTTTCTCGGGATTTTGTTGGCAGTAAATCTCTCGTCACAATTTCAGCTTTCGCTCGTATGTCCGGCGGTGTGCAGGTGATGTCATTGTCGAAATCTTCGCTCGACATAATGAAAATAATCAGACTGAACAACACAAAATTTACTTGAAGACTGGTAGTACGTTTTCACTAGACACATTTATTTATCAACAGAGTTGATCAGTTATGTCTCATTATCCTTGGGTAACAACACTTTCGCGCTTTCTGATTGGTTGTTGAGTTATTCTCTCCCCATAAATGGCTACTTTTCTTAACTGCGGGAAGAAAACACGATAACCTTGTGATTGGACGGAAATCAGATGTTTTCCTCCCGCTAAACAGGTGTGGAAAGTCACCATTTTTATGCGCGTGTTGGAAAAAAAATATTGCGGACAAAAAAAAATACGTATCGACTTTCTTCACGTCTATTTGATGTAAAAAAAAGTTTCAATCGTTTTAAAAAATACTAGGTCAATTCTTGGCCGATTTCTCCAGGAATTTCCCATATATAGGGTATCCCAAAAATAATTTTACACCAGAAAGTAAGCGATACCCGCAAATCCCCCGAGTATCCTTCCACAAAGCGTTTGTTAAAATCCGCAATAGTTTTTAAATGAGAAGCATTTAAGATGCACCGATCAGAACGAAGGATTTCTGCGGGTCATGGCTGTGTGGTGGGAGGTACAGTCGTGTAAGGCATATGTTAACTGCTTCAGACGGATCGTGCGATTAGTAATTGTTTCACGGTCCTCAAGCTATATTCCACTTTCCGGTATAAAAGTAGTTTTGAGACACCCTGTAGTAAAAGGCTGAAAATAGGAACTGTAATATACAGAGGTAATTAACTAATTAGAGGCGGCTATGCAGCAGCATATGTGGATAAACTACTAAAGAAAGGGATGAATATGGCTAACTGATTGAAGATGCCGGATTCAGACATACAAAAACAAGCACAAATAAGTAAAATCAGAGAATCCCAATATACCCGAAGATATAAAATAATAAGAAACGAAGACCTAACGGAGTACCTCGAAAAGTAAGGAAATAGAGGAAACCAAAAACTGAAAGCAAGATGGAGATGTGGCAATGAAGAAACGAAGAACAGATACTGGGATACCGAAGACAAGAAAATGTGTAGAATCTGTCAAAGAGGGAAAGAGACGATACAAAATTTGATGAGAAACTGTGATGGAACACAATTTCAAAATACAACCATGATGCGAATACTGTGAGACAAATAGGAAGGGATAAGTTGGTTAAAAGAAGTAAAAAAGAGAAGGAAAGAAATAGTTTAAGATGTATTGTAATTACATATTATGTACCAAAGTTTCTTAGGGGAAGTTCCCAGGAGATGAAGAAAAGGAAAGGGGAAAGTAGAAAAATACAAAGAAAAAAAAAAGAGTACAACAAGCTACCTGAGAAAAAAAAGAAAGACAAAATGAGATTTTTTTTTAAAAAAAGCATAAGAAGCGAGGGCAGAGAATAAAGTGTGGGGAATTATGAATAGAGACTGAATTCAAAGAAAGAGGGCAAATAAGGAAATAAAAATTGAAAAATAGAAAGAGTATTTCATGGGATTGCTGGGAGGTATAGAAGAGAGGGTGTTAAGAGAGCAAGAGAGAATCAGAGAGGAAAAGGAAGAGGAGGATGTTGGGAAGGAGGAGATGAAACAGAGCGATAAGGGGACTGATAGAAAGGTGTTTGAGGAAGGAGTGGGGTTTATCACAAATAAAGTATAAAAGTACGGAGAGGAAGAAACAGAGAAATGGGTATGGAGAGTACGTTGTAACGTAATTCTTTTCCTTAACTGGACACCGATAGCAAAACATCCGAGAACCAACTATCTTCAAGAACAACCTACATTACCTTCGGCCGTCCATCCGTCGTTCGTGCATCCGCAAGCCAGACGGGTGCCAGCCAATTCTTTTTTCACCGGGAACTGACGAGCCGGTATAAACTGGGAGTTGGGGTGGAACAAGCTCAACTCCACCAAAACGAGAATTCTGACGGAACCTATCAGACGAGGCGATAGCTTAACAGATCCTGTCGATTTTTGGGAACGCGAAAAATCAAGAAACGCAACCGTAGGTGCTGATCTTTGAGGTCGCGTAAAATCAGCAAACGCAACTGGATGCACGAACGGGAGCGGACGGATACGGAAATGCACGGCCGCTCAGGCTGCTAGATTTGAGATAGAGAGGATCGGAGTAAGAGTCCGGCGAATAGTGCGAGAGACAGAAAGCGACGAATCGAGAACGTATCGGAACAAATCTTAACTATCTATCGAGATCCCTTCACCAATTAATAAATTGGGAGTCCTCACCGGAGCTGGTGCAGCTAATCCGTGGAGACCGAGAAGTGTATCTAAAGGACACTCTGGTCAGCGCTGCACTAAGGCACAGGACTACACTTCCCGAACACTCACAGGAATTCATAGAATTGCCTGGATATCGCGAGAATAACGCGAGAACTATACGAATCGAGAACTTGCTATACCGTAGCGAAACACGACAAAAAACGATTTCAATGAGCCAATCAGGTGCAGCATTTTAACTGAAATCTTGTCCGTGAGTAATTTGAATGAACGTCCCGCTAATGCTATTTCTTATCGCCTTAACCTGACACCTTTGCTAATCGCCTAACCTTCGCCTAACATACAGTCAGATTTTGTAATTCAATTCCACAATCTCTATCCCAGTATTTGCCATAACTGAAACACTGTACACAACTACAAGTAATTAAAAACTACTGATTTATTAGTAACAATATATCGAAAATTTACATTTACTCGCGTATTCAATACCTGTTACCCATCCATAAGCATTTCAGGGAATATCTCTTCACGTTGGAATAGCAAGGCGTGTTCCAACACCTTAAACGAGCAGCGAACCCACCATTGAATGTATTCTTACCGCTCGGAATTCACTCAAATTTTATTTACGTTAACTCTGATCAATCCTTTTCTTTTGATGACTTCTAAATTTTGGTTAGCAAATTTAAAGGCCTCGCTAGCCACCATGGCCTACGTAACACGATATTCGTGACTAACAAAAAAATGACGGTCATTTTACATGATAGAATTCGGAAACACGAAATTAACGATCATTTTTGTGTCAATTGATAACAGCGAAAAATGACGGTCATTGCACATCTTTACTCCTCTGTATGCACAAGTAGGTAATTGTTGCATAATATTGCATGATCACAAATAAAGTATAAAAGTACGGAGAGGAAGAAACAGAGAAATGGGTATGGAGAGTACGTTGTAACGTAATTCTTTTCCTTAACTGGACACCGATAGCAAAACATCCGAGAACCAACTATCTTCAAGAACAACCTACATTACCTTCGGCCGTCCATCCGTCGTTCGTGCATCCGCAAGCCAGACGGGTGCCAGCCAATTCTTTTTTCACCGGGAACTGACGAGCCGGTATAAACTGGGAGTTGGGGTGGAACAAGCTCAACTCCACCAAAACGAGAATTCTGACGGAACCTATCAGACGAGGCGATAGCTTAACAGATCCTGTCGATTTTTGGGAACGCGAAAAATCAAGAAACGCAACCGTAGGTGCTGATCTTTGAGGTCGCGTAAAATCAGCAAACGCAACTGGATGCACGAACGGGAGCGGACGGATACGGAAATGCACGGCCGCTCAGGCTGCTAGATTTGAGATAGAGAGGATCGGAGTAAGAGTCCGGCGAATAGTGCGAGAGACAGAAAGCGACGAATCGAGAACGTATCGGAACAAATCTTAACTATCTATCGAGATCCCTTCACCAATTAATAAATTGGGAGTCCTCACCGGAGCTGGTGCAGCTAATCCGTGGAGACCGAGAAGTGTATCTAAAGGACACTCTGGTCAGCGCTGCACTAAGGCACAGGACTACACTTCCCGAACACTCACAGGAATTCATAGAATTGCCTGGATATCGCGAGAATAACGCGAGAACTATACGAATCGAGAACTTGCTATACCGTAGCGAAACACGACAAAAAACGATTTCAATGAGCCAATCAGGTGCAGCATTTTAACTGAAATCTTGTCCGTGAGTAATTTGAATGAACGTCCCGCTAATGCTGTTTCTATGATCCTCGATGTAATGTAAGCGGGCGCCTCACCACAGCTGCTCGCACTGTTGCGCTACCGTAGGTAAAATCATAGTACGGGAGAATTTCTACATTTGGCCACGTCCAACAAATTATTACGCAAATTTATTTATTTGTAATGTGTTTTTCTACGGGTAACGGCCACACTTAGTATACGAAGGCAAATTCGCCTATGAAAATGAAAAAGGCATGACAAGAGGGGGAGAGAAGATGTATCATTTCTTGAACGCATAATTAAATTTTTCAGTAGAGCTTAGTTGCACTTGTACTACAACAGCATTCAAGCCCATGCAAGGAAAGCCTCTGAGATGATAGTTCCTTACGTAAGTTTAATTTCAAGATTTTATTGTAGCTAAATGTAGGTTCGCTACTAACATCTTTTATTATTTCTTTAAATTTTCATTATGAAGTACTGAATCCATGAACTACACTGATCCTTGTTGCGTTGATATTATGCAATTATGATATATATTATGATATATATTATGCAATTATGATAATATGATATATTTGCAATAAGTATTTCCATAGCATTGCACCCTCTGTAGAGACGTACACTGAGCGGCATTAATGGCGTCCCAGAGGAAGTTAGGGGAACGGTGGCGAAACGAGACTGGGGGCGGCCAGCAGCCTAGAAGAAAGCCAGGCCGGAGCATAGTGGCGGAGCATACCTTTTCCCCTCGCTCGGGACGCCATTTATGTCACAAGTCGGAGCAGTCCCGTATAAGAGCGTCTTCCTCGCTTCTAGCGACGGTTGCCTATACGATCCTCTCATTCGTTCTTAGTGGTGGCTCTCCGAGTTTCTCTAGCGCGTATAGGAGCGTCTCGCTCACGCGCTCGCTCCCTGCGGATAAGAGCGTCTCACTCAAACCAATGCGTTCTCTGGCTTCCACCAATTTTTAGCCACCGTCAAGGACGTTGCGTCAAACAGGCTATGAGTGAAAGCAAGAGTGGGGTGGCCGGAATATAGTGAGGGTAGCCTTTCCCCTCACTCGGGACGCCATTTATGTCAGAAGTCGGAACAGTCCAGTATAAGAGCGTCTCTCTCACTCCTAGCGACGGTTGCCTATACGATCCTCTCATTCGTTCTTAGTGGTGGCTCTCCGAGTTTCTCTAGCGCGTATAGGAGCGCCTCCCTCACGCGCTCGCTCCCTACCTATAACAACGTATTAAGAACGTTGCATATATGACCTTCAAGTTTTCCTATGAGTTGTTCTATGCTATGAAGCAATGCTTCGGGTCATTCTTAATAGAGCTAGTGGCAAGCGTAGATCGAAATGGCACCGAATTTTTGTGTTGAGCAACGCGGACGAATCGTGGGTTTGTGGCAGGGCGGGAAATCCTTCGACGAGATCGCGGAGGTCATTGGATGCAGTTCAAAAACTGTACGTCGGTGGATCAATGCGTATCGAGTT